CAAAGCTTAAAGGATACCCATTTCATGTTCTATGGCCTCTTATAAGCTTTGATAATGAATGCAAATCATGTTGATTAGAGCTATAAAGATGGAATCTTTCGTATTTGGTTACACTATGTGAAGTGAGTTTTCAATTGGGCTGGTCTTAAAAAGGATCTAAATTGATATACTAGATTTTGTTTTTTGGATACTGTCTTTAAGAAGTATTAGTTTCATGGCTGGAAGTAATGAAGTCAATCTCAATGAAAGCAAGGTACTCTCTCTGTTTTTTTATCCCTCCCTCTGTCTTTACATTTTGTACTCTTTTGGTGATCGAAGCTGGTGTCTTTTGATGGGTTTTTTGTGGTGTTTGTGTTTTGGTGGTTTGAAGTTGAAAATCAGCTGGATTCGGAGCGAAATTTAGATGTTTTTAGTGGGGTTTTGAGATTTCGACTCGGTTGGTGAAGGAAAATGGGTTTGGGGTTTATGTTTAAGCATCTTAGATTCTTTAGGTTATATATTATTTGATATTCTTGGGTTTTATGTTCTTGTTTTTGTGGAAAGAAGGAAGCTTGTTGATTAGTATTAGGGTTCTGGGATGTTTTGTTTTGAAGTTTTATTGGATTCTGAGATCATATAGCGGTAGTTTGTTGTTAGGTTTTTGTTACATGTGGAATATCTGATTTGTGGTCTGGACGTACTGTTTTGGTTATCTAAATTCTAAATGCTGAACTTGGCTTATTAATCTTGGATCAATTTAATTCAGGGAACATGATTTGGTTTATGGATAAATCTGTTTCTTGTTAGCATGTTTTTCAGTCTCTACTTGCTTGTTTGTTGGTTTGTCTAGTACTTGGTTTTTGAAAAATTATCACCATTTATGGTTTATGGCTTGCTATTTTACTATTCGGAATGAAGAAAGTGAAGATTTTGATCCTTTGTTTTCTGAATAGATGGTGGTACCCCTGAATACGTGGGTCCTCATATCAAATTTCAAGCTGGCTTACAATCTTCTTCGTCGTCCTGATGGGACTTTCAACCGCCACTTGGCAGAGTTCCTTGACCGGAAAGTTCCTGCCAACGCAAATGCAGTTGATGGGGTTTTCTCATTTGATGTTATCATTGACCGTGGGACTAGTCTTCTTAGCCGGATCTATCGACAGGCTGATGCACAAGTATCACAACCAAATATTGTTGACCTTGAGAAGCCTATCAACTTGGATCGTGTCCCTGTCATAATCTTCTTTCATGGTGGAAGCTTTGCTCACTCTTCTGCAAACAGTGCTATATATGATACACTGTGTCGCCGCCTGGTGGGCCTTTGCAAGGCTGTGGTAGTGTCTGTGAATTATAGGCGTGCACCTGAAAATCGATACCCGTGTGCTTATGATGATGGATGGACTGCTCTGAAGTGGGTTAATTCAAGGGCATGGCTCCAGAGTAAGAAAGATTCTAAAGTTCATATATACTTGGCTGGGGATAGCTCTGGTGGTAACATTGTTCACCATGTTGCTTCAAGAGCAGTAGAATCAGGAATTGAAGTATTGGGCAACATACTGCTGAAC